ACAACAAAAGCACATACATACTTTAGTGCTAAAGTATTCAGCTCTAAAACCACGAAGTGTGTGGTGTTTTTCCTTGATTACAACAACTGGAGAACAAAAGTGATCAACCTGTATACCACTAAAAAGGCAATAATAACTTGAGCTAATGTTGCTTTTTTCCTTTATCAGGAGAACCATAGTCTGTGCCTTGCATCTGTGGAGAGGACTGCTGAGCTGAATGCATGGAGAGACGTGATGTGGATTTATGTTTTCTTTTATTTTGTGCATAACTACTAGTAAAAGTCATCCAGTGATCCTCCTTGTGTCGTGGTCCTTCTTCAGACAGCGCAGAATATGGAACACAACGCAGATTACACTAATAAAGGGGTTAACAGGTGTGCACCAGGTCAAGACTGTAATTGAACAATAAAAACAAGTTACAACGGTGCCCACACCCGTTACAAGTCCATTTCCTGCCATACAAGAACAGTTTGGGGTAAGGATGTACCCCAAGTCTTTGTGGCCATAGTTACTCCCAGGCATCATAAGGCTTTGACTTAATGCCCACTCTCTGACTGGGGAGCACATCTGCCTCAAAACACGGAACTCAGTACCAGAGTCAAAGTATTTCACATTCTTTACATAACACATAATTGTCTGCATCGATAGATTTATATGATTTAGGTTCTCTTTTGTATAGACACTGGGGGCCTGAGTGAGGTAATTATAGATATTAGGCCAGGTAACTGATGGCCATTTTCTCCTATCTACAACCCACTGTTCTGTGAGAATAGTATTATTATTACATGTTTATTTGACAGGCACAGAACAAAAAGTATTGTTACAGGTAACCAATGCCATGTTCATAGGCCGTATAGCAAACAGATAATTGGCAGTCGCTAAGGCATAAAAATATTAGAGATTTCAGTTCAGCAGGTAAAATGTTCCAGAGCTGTGGCTCTTCGACTGCAAACGAAGTCTGACCAAATGATGTTTTACATCTTGCCGGTCTGCAGTGTGTGTGGATCAGGAACTGGTGCCCATCGCAGAGGACCAATTTATGAAGATAACCTGCACGATCAGAACTATTCAGGGGTTCTGTGTAGTGTGTAGAGATGATAGCCATCCTAAACTAGCAAACACAATACAGGTACAGAAGCCAATTATGACAGGTTGAAACAGCTTAGCCCCAATTTTAAGTTCATTTTAATAAAAATACATGAAATCAAATGAAGTTTACTACTATTTAGCAATGTTAACAATTCAGATAGCTCATTTGTTTCAAAACTTTGTATACACATTTTTGATATTTGGGTTTATGGACTGACAGATTTATTGCTAGTTAGCATAGACTCATTAGGTCAACCCCCTATAATTATGCAAATAAAAAGCAAACAAATAACTCAGAGACAGTTTTATTAAACTTTGATAACGGTCCTGACATGATTCTGACAAAGCATTCAGTGTAAACAACGTACAGCGATGACAAAGGTCCCGGGATGTACCTGGCTAGCCTTGCGGCAACATAGGCTGATGAGAGAGAATATTAAACATTTACGAACTAAACATGTCCTGGTGTAAGCCTATAGGGTGTCCACAACAGTGTACATACCACGTTAAAGACTACAATAGCCAGCCCAGTTAGGGTTATAAAAAAGATATACAGTCTATGGATTAATCATATGCTTTCCATCTCCAAGCTGCAGTGGGCTGTTTACCTTTCACTGGCCCCGCCCCCAAGCGACAAAAGTATTTCACGCGCGCGTAGAAGAGATGGCAAAAGTGTTCAACGCGCGCAGAACACAGACCACGAGAAGGAAGAGGGCAGGTCACGAGCGCACACACGCGCGTATTGTGGCTCGTGGTACTGAGTCTGCGCGCGTGTGGTGTGAAATGTGCGCGTGGAGAGTAGTTTGCGCGCGTGTGAATTAAATAAAGCTGCGCGTGTATGTGTTATTTGAGCGTGTGGACTTTTGGCGTAAATCTGGCGCCATAGCAGAACTGGCCCCCGCCCCCAAGCGCAGTGGGCTGTTTACCTTTCACTGGCGCCCGCCCCCAAGCGACAAAAGGTATTTCACGCTGCGCGTTAGAAAGAGATGGCAAAAGTGTTTCAACGCGCCGCAGAACACGCAGACCACGAAGAAGGGACTGAGGGCAGGTAGGTCGACTTGAGCGCACACACGCGCGTAATTGTGGCTCGTGGTACTGCAGTCTGCTGCGCGCGTGTGGTCTGGTGAAATTTGTTGCGCGTTGGAGAGTAGTTTTCGCGCGCGTGTGATATTAACATAAAGCTGCGCGTGTATGTGTTAATTTGCGGCGTGTGGACTTTTTGGCGTAAATCTGGCGCCATAAAAGAGGAGAGAGGAGAGAGAGGAGAGAGAAGAGAGGAAGAGAGAGGGGGAGAGGAAGGAAAGAGGGGAGAGACAGGAGAGAGAGTGAGGAGCAGAGACGGGAAGAGAGGGTGGAGGAGAGAAAGAGGAGGAGAGGGAGAGCAGGGGAGAGAGGAGGAGTGAGAGGGAGAGAGAGGGGGGGGAGGGGGGGTGAGGAGAAGAGGGGACAGAGAGAGAGAGAGAGAGGAGAGATGTAGAGAGAGAGGAGGGCGAGACCGGGGGAGACCAGTGAGAGAGAGAGGAGAGAGAGAGAGAGAGAGGGGGAGAGAGAGGATATAGGGGGGAGAGAGGAGAGAGAGAGAGGGAGAGAGGGGGGAGAAGAGGAGAGAGAGGAGAGAGGAGAGAGAGGGGGGAGAGGAGAGAGAGGAGAGAGGAGGAGAGGGGGGAGAAGGAGAGTGAAGAGAGAAGGAGAGAGAGAGAGAGAGGGGGGAGAGAGAGATAGAGGGGGGGAGAGAGGAGAGAGAGAGAGGGTAGAAGAGGGGGGAGAGAGGAAGAGGAGGGGGAGAGGAATGAGAGAACCTATCGGCTCTGTGTTGTGGCGTCTCGTGGGTGGGAGGTGGGTTCTGAATGATCCAAAGACTGCCAGTTATTCAGGATCGGCCGCTCCCTGAAGAAGTTTCACTTTCTGTGTCCCAAAACTGCACAACCAAGGAACTGAGAGAGCAGGATGGTAGGGGGGAGAGAGAGGAGAGAGAGGGGAGGAGGAAGAGAGAGAGAGAGGGGGAGGGGAGGAGGAGAGAGGAGGAGAGGTAGAGGGAGGAGAGAGAAAGGTGGAGAGCGGAGAGGAGAGAGAGAGGGAGGGGGGGGAGGAGGAGAGGAGAGGAGAGAGAGGAGAGGAGAGAGAGGAGAGAGAGGGAGAGGAGGGGAGAGAGGGCGAGAGAGGAGGAGAGATGTGGAGAGAGAGAGAGGGAGAGGAGAGGAGAGGAGGATGAGGAGAGGAGGAGAGAGAGAGGAGGAGACGGAGGGAGAGGAGAGAGAGAGGAGAGAGAAGAGGGAGGAGGGAAGGAGAGGAGAGAGAGAGAGAGGGAGAGGAGGAGAGAGGAGAGAGAGGAGAGGAGAGGAGGAGAGAGAGAGGAGAGAGAGGAGAGAGAGGGAGAGGAGGAGGAGAGAGAGGAGGGATGGAGGGGAGGGGAGGAAGGAGAGAGAGGAGAGGAGGAGAGGAGAGAGAGCGGGAGGAAGGAGGAGAGGAGAGGAGAGGGAGAGAGAGGGGAGGAGGAGAGGAGAGAGAGAGGGGGAGGGAGGGAGAGAGAGAGGAGAGAGGAGGGAGTAGGGAGAGAGGAGAGAGAGGAGGAGGGAGGGAGAGAGGAGGAGAGAGAAGGAGGGGGAGAGAGAGAGGGAGAGGAGAGAGAGTGCGAGGAGGAGATGAGAGAGGAGGAGGAGAGAGAGGAGAGAGAGAGAGGGAGGGGGAGAGAGAAGAGGAGGAGAGAGAGAGGGGGGGGGAGGAGAGAGAGAGGAGAAGAGGAGAGGGAAGTGAGAGAGGGGAGAGCGGGAGAGGAGGAGAGAGAGAGGAGCCCCCCCCCCCACCACACCCCCCCCCCCCCACCCCCCCCCCCCCCCCCCCACCCCCCCCACCCCCCCCCCCCCCCCCCCCCCCCGATCAGACTGCGAGATACTGGGAGACTCGGTGGCACTGGTAAACGCATTAGTCTCAGCTCCGACAGCAGGCAAAAGATAAAGGCTGAGAAAACAAGGGTATCTAAACACATAGCTCCGTGATCGGTAAGGGGAGTTTTACACTTAACAAAAGAGTTACAACGTTCATTTCCCAGTAGTTTGCTAGTTTTTTTGTATGCTTACCAAATACGGCGGGTCTTAAGAAGCATGGGATAGCTGAGTAACCTAACTTTCCAACCTTTTTTGACTACATAGGGCAAGGCAAGTGTATTTGTATTGCACAGTTCCTAAAAGAAAAAAGCATCCAAGGCATTCAACTCATAAATAATACAAAATATTCAATACAAAGTGAACGGTAAGCCCCAGGAACACAGGACTTACACCCACAGCCTTCTCTCAACCTGCAATAACACTTTTATTTTTTATTTTAGGATAACCCCATTTTTTGAGGTCCTTTGTTGCAAGGATGGCACACATGCTCAACAGCACTATACAATATGATACAATTTAGCAAACCAAGTACAGTTAGAAATACATAGTTATAGACACATGGTTTGTCTTGTCAGCATAGACCGCAGCTGTATATGTTTCAGCCTTTCTAGGAAAACCTGGCGCTAGATGATAGATAGATACTTTATTGATCCCCGTGAGAGAAATTCAATTCAAGTGTCCAGCAGCAAAAATACATCATCCATATGAGCATGATCAAAAAAATAATTCTGCATTTTGGCTCCACATCCCCCAGCTCCAGACTCTCCATCTCCAAACTCCAGCCTGGGCCTAATCCTGACCCCCCCCCCCACAGCCCAGAGTTTTATACATATATATATTTTTTTGTCGTTATCTAAAAGTTATTACCGCAATACTGTGTCTTTCCAGCTAATGCTTTCTATCCAGTCACAGGCCCACATACAGTATATATTTTTTCCCATTCTCATTCACAGATACACATACGTTTTTCAACCCTCATTCGCCGACATATTTTCAATACATCCCGAAAACAGCTTTGCATCTTACCTGAGTGTGTGCGTGCTTCAGTGTTCACTTAATCCCATTTCCATAACAGCAGATGACACAGCCCTGGCCGCTCCTCTCGTCACATTGTTAAAACGCGACAGGACATGGAAGTGTAGCAGTGGAGGGGGAAGACGTCCTCTCCCAAGCCCAGGGTCGGAGCACTGATTTTGTGGTCACCTCGATGGAAGAACCAGCAGGATTTCCCACCCCCAGAGATCTCTCTCTCCGACACCTTGGAAACAGACAGAGACAAGCGTTTAACAAGACTGAAGCTGCGGGACATGAAGCAATAGTGTGGGTGAAGACGGATGGAGCAAGAAGTGAACAAGACAGTGGAGTAATAGAATGTTGGGAAATGGTCTCATGGGGTTTGAGTTAAATAGTTATATCTGCTAAACGTTCATGATTTCTCCAATGCAAGTTTTTGACAAGTTTGGATTTTTGGTCATTGTTAAGGCAAATATGTTGATATTGATCTCCAATTTGAGATAGGACACATTATGTAAAGTAGTCTTGATTGATTTATTATTTCACGAATTTCAGGAAATTCAAGGATAAACAAATATCACAACCTCAACCTCAACCTTGACAAATCCTTATCCTTATACAACAGAAAAACACCAACATTTTAGTTTTTATGGTATTTTCTTCAGTCAAATCACTTTCTTTACACCAAACATCTTCACGGCGCCGTAAAGATGGCGCCACGGCAAGAGCTCCGGTGTGTGTCGTCTGGTGCACACTGGGGTAGTCTTGCACAGTTTTTCCAATGTGGTTTTACTGCAAATGGCAAATAAATGAATCTGAATCTGAAATGTTTTTACATATATATATATATATTTTTCTTCTGGCATTAATGTAATTTTACATTTCTGTCTTTGTCATGTGTCCTCAGATTGTTAATTAAATACAATCTATTTTTATAAAGCCCTGAAGGAGGACCAAGTTGTCAATTTGCTAAAAGCAGATCAGAGAATCTAGAAAATGCAATAATAACATAGACACTGAGGAGCCATTGATCCTTAGGGAGCAGAAATGCTTATAAATGTCCCTAAATACCCTTTTTAATAATTCGTAACTATTTAAATACACAAAAATATCCTTAATTAAAAATACAATTGACATGATGCCTTTAATATTTATGTTTCCGATTTACAAGGAGATTTTCCAGCCAGAGAGCAGAAGGAGGCTCCCATTTGCGTTGCCAATGTGTTAGGTGATCTTTAACTAATCTTGAAGGTTTTTTTTTTTTTTTTTACAAAATACACAAACTAAAACTAGCACCCCACATTTAAATTAAACTAGGTACAAATATAAGTAATCATAAGCAATAGAGTTTGTACCGTTTTTAGTTAAACAAGTATTCTGTTTAAGTAATCAGTGTTATGGCTACAGATGTTCTCAGGCAGGAAGATTCTGGCAACAAACATTAGATTAATTTTAGACCGTTAAATGTGCAACAACATCTAAATTAACAATTAGTAACTCAGCAAATTAGCTGTGGCTATACATGTGGTAGTGTTTCACATGTTGGTTATGTACTTGTTCTTATAATGTAAATTCCTAAAAATAAATAAATAAACATATAATACACTTTACTGGATATAGACATGTTATCAAAAGTCTTGTCCTTAGCCATCTAAAATTTTAAGAAATCAATTAATTAAAATGTAATCATCTAGATTCATACAGCATCAATATCCAATCATATTTTTCCCGGACAATGTGAGCCGACCCAAAACACCCTGTGGCAAAAATAGCTTCACAATTCTGCTAATTATTCTGAGAAAGTTCACAGTGTCCTTATGCAAATCCTTCCTCATTTAAACTGCATTTAATTTCAAACTCCTCATGCATTCCCCAGGTCGCGTTCCAACCATTTCTGGCTCTCCAAATCCCAAATTCAAAGCATTTTTTGTTGTATTTTTGGCTTTTTTTAGAGTTACACAAAGCTAGTTCATTTCTCATCGGTTTGAAAAGGGTTCAGAAATGCAGCGGTGTCTATGGTGGAGATTGCCAGTTTGAGAGTATAATCCCTGCGTTTAGCTGTAGGAGGTCTGAGGGGAGGAAGGAAAAAGGGGGCAGGGGCTCGGCTAGAACACTATTTATCTACCTGGGAGCTCTGAGCTGCCAGCGAGACTCCCCCACTGCTAAAAACAGCTCAGCCTCTCTCTCTCTTGCTGCGGTTTCGGGCTTGTGAATGTGTTGCTGGTGTCAGAGGCAGAAGGGAAAATTGACAAATGATTCTGATTATGTGTTAGGAAATATTGTGTCTCATTCAATTTGATTCAATTTATTCTTGAATGGCCCTCAATGACAACATTATAGTTATCGCGAAGGACTTTACGAAACCTTCGAATTTTCCCAGTTCAAACACAAAAAAATACAACAATAAAAACACATAGAGCCATTGGTCCATGAGTTACAAATAACTAATGTCCATAAATGATGATAAATGTCCATAAATGTCATTGAATGTCACATGAATAGGTATACGTGAATGCAAAATATTATAGGGGAATTTGACTAATAATTCTACAATGTTGTATGCGTCTCAATGACTTACTTTTAATGGTTTGAGTTGAGCCTCATTCTCGCTGTGCAAAAAACACACACATTTTGACCAAAAAACCCAGGTCGCCTCGTCCATACACACTGAGAGACACAGGCTGGTGCGTCAAATCGACTCGGCATTTACTTGAACCCGCCTTTCGACCTAGTTTTTTTACCGAGGTGTGTTTGGTGCCAACACACAGATTAAATGCACAATGTGGCTCAGGTGAAGAAGGTTACAAAACCACACAGGTAAACACAAACGGGACAATGTTTTGCATAATAACTTGTGTGCACGGGGAATATAGAACGACTTAAAACCGTTGTGTATCTCTGTGCACGGAGTGAACATTTGGAACGATTAAAATGAGAAATTTAAAACGTGCATGTGTGTGTTTTTGTGTGTAGAGTATTGCTTCTTGTTGTATTGTATTGTAGTGTGTGTCTGAATGGCTGGGAGGGAATTGTATCAATATAAGCTTTTTCTTCATCCAATCCTTTTCTAAACAGGTTCTTTTTTTTATTATTTTACTGTGGATGATTGTCTTTATATCTTGTGTATGTTTGAAATTACAAATGAAACATGAAATGACTATACAGGATGAATTTAACATTACTCTAATTATCACAACCGTATAACCAATTCACACATATACATAAATTTGCCATAGTTTAAAAAAAAGTTCCAAAAATAACATTTCTCCAATATTATGACTGACAAACGCAAAAAAAAGCCATCTTCTATTCTGTTTGTGATTCTGATTTGTTTAATATTGCTCACCTGCAGCACAGACTCCAGCCAAGCGGTTGCTATAGCGACGCTAAAAAGGCTGGAGGTAAAACTGAGGGGTTTTCTGTGTCTCGTATTTTATTACTTCAAACGGTTGTCTGCCGTCATAAACAGACCATGCTCAGAAATAAAGGGGAAACAAACAAAAAACTCAGGTTATGGGAATTATTATTGCTTTATTATAAAAAGTCATAAGCAGTGAATTAAAATATAAAACATTCAAAAGAAATCTATAAAATTACATTACATTATAATACAAGTAACATTAGCAAAGCATTTCTATGGGGTCTTTAACTACAAATAAATTTAAGTCTTTACCAGTAGGAACATGTTTTTGGCCTTTGTCACATCTCTAGTTCAGTTTATCTGGCCTCCTGCTGGTGCCTGGAGTCGGGACTAAACATGGGGAGGCAGCGTTTCAGAATCATGCAACTAAAACGGAACAGTCATCCTAAAAATTTGAGGCAGACTTTCATTCTGACAATGTTCGAATCCACGTTAATAACAGTTCTGTTTAGCTGCAATTGAAGGACCGTATCTTGTTTGTGATTTGAAAGCCTTGTGTATGAACTTTGCTATACAGAAAGTGAAAAAGATCATTTGATTCCTATAAAGAGCATGTTGTGATCTTAACTTTCTATTTGAGGAGGGGGGGAACAATATAATCAAAAGTGTGTTCAGTACCCCTGCTTTATTAATCACTTTAGCATTATTACTACACACTGCTACGACAAAAGCAAATACAAAAACTATCATCTGCTTATATTTACGTCACCTATCATGTCTTGTTTGTTCCTGGGAAGCCCGTAGAGGAGCAGCGCAGTTCAAACACAGCCTCCGAGGGCATAAATAAATAATTGGAGGTCTGACAGTGTGGAATCAGATCAAGCTCACTTCTGAATAATGCAAACTGCTTCCTGTAATGCAATCACAGCGAGAGAAGAAGAAGAAGACGCCAGTGAGAATCAGACGTGAAAGCATCATCAAAACACGGATAAATAGGTACTGGGTTTTATTCCCCCTGGAAGTTATCGCTCGATTTCACAACAATTTGTCAATTCTCTATGAATTAGTTATTATTGATATATGTCTAGGGACTTATCCTCCAAACAAAAAAATATTACCGCTCCACTGTGGCATCTGGTGTTCTCAGAGGTCTCCCATCACAGCACTAACTAGGCCCTGCCCTGCTTAGCTTCAGAAGGTCTGACAGGATGTGGGTCTCACATTCAGGTATGGATTTAATTGCATGATGACACAAATTCATTGAATAACTTGTGTTTGCTTCTGCTTATGTGCAAGTACATTAAGTTTGATATCAATCAATATAAGAAAGATTTTTTGCAATTTTTGTCCCAGATCAGAAGTTTTTTCGGCCAGTCCTAGTTTCACCAGCCACCAACCATTCAATCACTATTCATACATGCATTATTATTATTTTATACATTTTAAAAATCAGCCAAGGGAGATTTTTTACAATTCATTTCAATGCTATTACATACGCTATTAAAAATCCCGTGCTGTCCTTATTGCCACAGTGAACACAAGTAAAAGAAAAATACCCTAAATTATTTTTCTTCAAGCTGAATTTTGATGACTTTTTCTAACTTGACCGGCCCCGGGTCATTTAGACCATTTTAGACCCTGATTTAGAGCAATTTTCTTCTACTTTTAATCTCTGTGGCAGGTCATATTAACCTGAGGACAGTTTAAGCTAATTTGCAAGTTTTAATCATTCATTATTGTGTTAGTTCAGGAATAATAAAAATGTCGGAGGGAAAGTTCTCTCTCACAATATCGCATGACTTTGTGGTCCAAACTTTACAATTGTGTTTGTATCGCGTGCCAAGGAGAGAGAGCAAAACAACATCAACCCAGACGACTGTACCTTAGGGCTTTTCAGTCTCAGTCAAGGAGAGTCTCGGTCATATTCACAAAAC